TTTAATAAAGGAGAAAAATACAGCAGATATCAAGTTTAATAATTTTTCTGTAGAACATTTTAGCAGTGCAAAAACCAACTAGAAATCAAACTAAAATAACAAGAATAGTTACTCGATATTTTAAATTTCAGAGATCTTGTTTTCATTTTTATGTATATATTTCAGTTATTTTTTGCAGCATAGAAACTACTATAAAAATCTAGTGACTCAAAACAGTAATGATTTATGATTTCTTATGATTCTATAGTTTATCTCAACAGTTTCTCTGCTGGTTACACTTGGACTCACTTACGTGCATTTGGCTGAGAGAGAGATTTCAATACAGCCTCACTCATATGCCTGACAGCGAGTGCTGGCTGTTGACTGAGGGCCTCGGTTGTTCTCCATGTGCCTTTCTACCCTCCAGTTGGCTAGACTAACATGGTAGTGTCAGAGAGAGCAATGGCAAAAGCTGCAAGGCCTTTTGAGACCTTAGCTGCAGAGCTCATGCAGCATAACTTTGACCACAATCTTCTGGTCAAAGCAAGATACAAGGCTAGGCCTGATTTACAACAACAGTAAAAGGCCTCCCTTTTGGATTAAAGAAGATTAACACTTTTTAAAATCATATTTAATCTAGTACAATGTTGCAAAATATATGAACTATTTACTATTAATGAAAAATTTGATTACCTTTTGGGGGAATTTTCTTAGTATTTGAATTTACTAAATGATACAAAGAAATACCTTGAGGATATAAAAATCATGTTTTTCCAGCAAAAGCTGACATTTTCATATAATTAAGGTCACAAATTCCAATGCCTATGAAGCCACAATGGTAACAAATGTCACTGAAATGAGCCAAGTCAAGGTTGGGGTAATTTGGACTATATGTACTCTACCTGAAAATGTAATAGTAGATGGTTCTCTTTTCACAATATAAGCCCAGTGACGCCTGGAGCATTGATATTTTAAGACAAAGATTAAATATCGGCAAGCAACTTGGTTAAGTTCAAAATGAATCTAAAAGTTACCTGAAAAGACAAAAGACCCCGAATAGTGAGCACAATACTGAATAAGAACAAAGTCGGAGGCTGGACACTACCTGATTTCCAGACTTATTATACAGTTACAACAGTGGAGATAGTGTGGTATTGGAAAAATAACAAGTCAATGGAACAGAAAAGAGCTCCTAAAAATAGACCCAGACAAATACAGTCAAGTGATCTTTGAGCAAAATCAAGTCCGTGGAGAAAAAACAGCCTTTTGAACAAGTTGTGCTGGAACAATGGAATGTTCGTATGCAAAAAAAGGGGGAAGAAGAAAAGAAGAGAGAAGAGAAGAATCCAGGCATACCTTTCACAAAGATTAACTCAAAATGGACCATAAACCTAAATACAAACACAAAGCTATAAAACTTCTAGAAGATACTGTAGGGAAATTGTAAGTATGCAAATCCGACAGTGCATTTGTAGATATAACATCTAAATAATCCGTGAAAGGAGAGGTTGATAAGTTGGACTTTATTAAAATTAAAAACTTATCTTCTACAAAAGACCATGTTAAGAGAAGGAAAAAACAACCCACAGACTGAAAAAGAAAGTTTGCAGAGCACACTTCTGATCAAGGGCTTCAATCTGAAACATACAACAAACTGTTAAAACTGAATGATAAGAAAAGAAACAAACCAATTTCAAAACAGACAAAAGATCTGAACAGACACCTCACTAAGGAAGATATAAAAATGGAAAGTAAATATAAAAATGTGATTAACATCATGTCATTAAGGGATTGCAAGTTAAAACATCTCTTACATACCATGACACAAGTATTAGAATGGCTAAAATTAAAAAAAAAAAAAATGGCGATAGCAAATGCTGGCAAGGATGTAGAACTCTTTTTGCTGGTAGCAATGAAAAATTGCACAGCTGCTTTAGAAGACAGTTTGGCAGTTTCTCACAAAGCTAAACAGTTTTACCATACGATCTAGCAATTGCACTCAAGGTATTTACTCAATTGAGTTGAAAATTTATGTCCTGATAAAAATGTATGCTTGAATGTTTATAGCATATAAACATTCCACCAAAAGCTGGAAGCCACCAAGTTATTCTTCAATAGATGAATGGATAAACTATGGTACAGCTAGACAATGGAATATTATCCAGCAATAAATATAAGTGACCTATAGAGCCACAAAAACACGTGAAGGAATCTTAAATGTGTATTGCTATGTGAAAAAAGCCAGTCTGAAAAGGTTATGTACTTTATGATTCTAGTGATATGACATCTTGGAAAAGCACAGTTGTAGAAATAATAAAATGTTCAGTGGTTGCCTGGAGTTTGGTAGGGCATGGCAGGGGTGGGATGAATAGGTGAAGCTCAAGGGATTTTAGGATGATAAAATTATTCCAAAGGATATTGTAATATGTATATAAGACATGCATTTATCAAGCCCGTAGAATTATGAAAAAGGGTAAACCATAATGTAAGTTATGGACTTTAGTTAATGGCAATTTATCAATATTGTTTTATTAATTGTAACTAATATACCACACTAGTGTAAGATGTTTATAATAGGAGAAACTGCATTGCAAGGGATAGGGCCTGATATATGAGAATTATCTGAACTATCTGCTTAACTGCTTGGTAAATAAACATTTTAAAATATTTAACTGATTTTTGTGTTGCATGATTTTTTTTTTCTGATAAAACAAAGTAAAATAGTTTTGAGTTGAAAGCCTTGGCTGGGAATTGTGACACAGCCCTGTAATCCCAGCACTTTGGGAGGTCGAAGAGGGCAGACCACCTGAGGTGAGCAGTTCAAGACCATCTTGGCCAACATGGTGAAACCCAGTCACTGCTAAAAATACCAAAGGAGCCAGGCGTGGCAGTGCACGTTTGTAATCCCAGCTACTGAGGAGGCTGAGGCAGGAGGATCGCTTGAAGCCAGGAGGCGGAAGTTGCAGTGAGCCCAGATCGCTTCACTGCACTCCAGCCTGGGTGACAGGGAGAGATTCTATGTCAAGGAAAAAAAAGAAAAGAAAAAGTCTTTCTTCTGTGGGTAAATTAGTAGCATTATTTGTAGGTTCCAGGTTATTTCTTTTAGCTGGATGATTAAATTAAGTAGATCTTACTTCATGTTTTTAACAGGCATTATTGTAGAATCATATTACTTAGTCTAAGTTGCAGAAACATTTCTACTGGGGAGCAGGTGGTGGAAGTAAAATATCCAAATGCGTAGGCCTCTATAATAAAGACAACTATTTGTAAATACATATTTTGGGAACTTTCCTGTTCAGGAAATTTATCGTTAAGCAGTATTTTCTTTCAAACCATGTTTACTAGATTTGAAAAGTCACTTTGAAGAAAGGAAATGAAGCATACCATCAGCAATTTTCAAAAGTTTTGAGACATTTTTCTACAATATTGATATAATAAAGATGAACACCTTTGGAAAATGCTTTCAATATTTTCACTGTGAAGAGTATTTATTTTTGTCGCTGGAACAACCAGAAGCAGATGTGGGAAGACTAAGAAAGTGTGAAGTTTTCTTTATACACAGAGAGAGTACTTTAGATAACAATTACTATCCCAGCTACTAGCTTGAGGATTGGTATCGTTTTATTACCCTGTGATCCACCTGTGTGGAGTTGGGTCAGGCTAACGAAGACTAAGGATAATGTCAAATGTGTCCTAGGACTTCTCCTATTTTATATCCTCTCTGATCACCAGCAGCTCATGCTATGACCCAATTTGGTCTATCCTTCCTTCGCGATCCTTTTCACCCTGATCCTAGTTTAAAAGACTGCATTGCCTCATCATCTTTGCATCCAGATTTTGCTTTGAGTTTGCAAAATGACAGATTATAGGCTAATTCCACTGAATGAATTAGGTTGAAAATGGCTTCAATTAAGCCTTCCTCAGGAAATGTGGATTTTAATGGTTACCTGAAAACATAGCATCTTATCTCAACTAAATAAACTTTGAGTGACAAAATTTTAGTCAACAGGTCTGGTCAGAGGATATTGCCATGGGTAGAACAGACTCCTCCAAGTCTCCCTAACCATACATATGACTGGTGGTGGTGTGTCCCCAGGTATTATCAGTGGGGCTTATATAGAAGGGGGAATAGAAGCTGCTGTCAGCAAGCCTACCTGAGCATTACGTTCTGGGCTTAGACCTTTGTGAACTTCTTGCTTATTGTACCTGATACAATCTTAGCAACTTTGAATGAAATGCATTTATGATTGAATCAAGACTTCCTAGGTTGCATCAACACTGTTTTAGTTACCTTCTAGTGAATGTGAGTAATATTCCATATATATATAACTAGTAAATGCATCAGATGAAGTAGAAGGATGCAGAGTCCTTCATTGATTCAGGGTCTCAGGTCTAAGGGCAAAGTGAATCTTTCAAATGTTGTGGAAATTTTTAAAAGCCAGACACTGCCATACTAGTTATAAGCCAATTTAAGTCCTACAAATGTAACTTCCTTTTCTAAGAAAGCAGTTATTTTCTCAGCACCTGTGTATTCTAATTCTCAGTACCTGTGTGCTATTTAACACAGTTCAAATATGTCAAATTCTAATATATTTATCTTATTTTCCAAGCCACAGAAGCAGTAAACAATGTAGAAGAAAGTGGAATAGATATGGTGGTAGGCAAACTGAACATATCAAGAAGTTCTAGATAATAACATTTAGAAAAGTTATTAATATTTTTTCTGTTCTCCAATGCTGATAAGTAAACAAGGCCTATTTACTTACGGGTAGCCTCAGAAACATGAATAGCCTCAAGCTGGTGCCCTATACCGTGGCCTCATCAATAGCTAAGAATATTCTAATATCATAATTCTATAAACTGGTGATGAAAAAACTCTTAGGAGTTTATAAATTTCATTGGCATCTTTTCAATTTTTTTCTTTCCATCTTTTGTCTTGTTAGGAAAAAAGTTTCAAAGTATATCATTTATCTTTGCAATGTTTTTCATACATTATGTAATACTATGTTTTTCCCTCTTAGATCCAGGACTGCATAGACAGCTGTATTTTCTGCAAAGACCATCCAATGTAGTAGCCATTGAAGGAAAAGATGCTGTCCTGGAATGTTGTGTTTCTGGCTATCCTCCGCCAAGTTTTACCTGGTTACGAGGCGAGGAAGTCATCCAACTCAGGTATTTCATTTAAGACTTTTGTAAAGTAAAATTTTCTATAGTATATGCTGCTATTTACTTTCTCTAATTTGATATAGCAGTACAGGGTTTTTCATAATAATTGAATATTCTTTTCACATTTCTTGGCGTGATGCAGTATATGAAAGATATTTAGCCACTGGTATGAGAAGATGAGGAAAAGACCAAAATTCATGAGACCAATTCTTAAAGGAAACTAAGAAACAGTCAAGGTTACCTTTGAGATGGTCCTGCACAAAAAGTCTTCAGATACATTTTGGTGGATTCCATGATAAGAAAGTAGTATATAGAGAGGTTTGATCCTTAATATTATGTCTCGCATACAAAAGATAACTCTGTGGAGTGATGAATATGATCATCAGTTCGATTGTGATAATTTCACAATGTATACATACACCAAAACATTATAGTGTACACTGTAATTGTATGTAATTTTTATTTGTCGGTTGTACTTTAGTAAAGCTAAGGGGAAAAATGAAACTAAAATTTTCTGAGTTCAAACACGTAGCGTGTCATTACAGGGCTTGAGCAATTTTTTTTTAGCTCCAACTACATCGCTCACTATCCCAACTACAACAAATATTTAAGGGAAGGCAGGAGAACTTGGCCAACTTTGAATTGCTGGAACATTAATAATCAGGTACAGTTAGAAAGCAAATTGTCAATAGAATGGAATAGTCTTTCTGATGAAATAGATCTTGCTTAAGGAATTAATTCCATTGATTTTGAGGACTGGTGTTTTCCTTTTTAGCATACCTACTTTCAAAGAGAAGATAAGTTCATCAATCATAAATTAATCTTTAAATTTTATTTACCTTAAATATTTAGATAACAACAAGGCATGGTATATGATATTACAATATTTCTGAGAACATTAGGACACCCAAGAAATCCAGTTACAGTTTCAGCGCATCAAGGTGTGTTCTCTGGATATAGCCAAGCACTCTTAGTTCAGTACAAAATATGGCTTTGTACAAAAATCACTAAATTGGATTTCAGGACATTGATTTTCACTCCAGAGTACTACTTCTCTGGACCTTGAGGTTCTCAAATCCAAAATGAGATATTTGGACTAGATTATCTATAATTTATAGCACTAAAGTTAGTTTCAAGTTTAATCTACTTCATTTCTTTGATCACTACACACAACCTTCCAATGGGAGTAGTTTACCTTGAGTGAATTTTTTAATCAGTAATCGAGACATTATCACACCATTATCATATAGAGTTTCTTTCTGATGTCTTAATTTGAGCTTTAGTGGAGGTCATTTAAAGCTCTGAGTACCTTGCCTAATATATATTTGTGTGCTCATTTACTCTACACCTACTCTGTATATTACAGGTCTAAAAAGTATTCTTTATTGGGTGGAAGCAACTTGCTTATCTCCAATGTGACAGACGATGACAGTGGAATGTATACCTGTGTTGTCACGTATAAAAATGAGAATATTAGTGCCTCTGCAGAGCTCACAGTCTTGGGTAAGTTCATGGTTGGAGATGAATTTAGATTGTACCGTTCCAAATATATCACTGTGATGCTTTAAATGCTCATCACTGAATTGCTTCCTATGTTTATTAGTGTGAAATTGCAAATTCCCAGTACTCCACACATTCCTTTGCTTTGCTCTGATTAATTGCATAGGGGTTATATGCAATGTTTGAATACTTATTTATTGATTGGAAGCCAGAAATATTATGCTTTAGTCAAATTGTTCCAATGATATAGCTGAAAAGTACCAAAAATTATTAATGGCAGATGTGTTGAATAACAAATATGAGATTCCAAAATATCATATCTGGGAAAATAAGGAAAAAAATGAAATTGTGCAAAATATTTATTCTTTTTTTTTTCCCCATTTATTTATTTTATTGCATTTTACATTTTGGGGTACATGTGAAGAACATGCAAAATTGTTGCATAGGAACACACGTGGCAGTGTGATTTGCTGCCTTCCTCCCCATCACCTACATCTGGCATTTCTCCCCTTGCTATCTCTCCCCAGCTTCCCACCCCCCACCCTCCCTCCCCTATTTCCCCCCAACTGACCCCAGTGTGTAGTGCTCCCCTCCCTGTGTCCATGTGTTCTCATTGTTCAACACCCGCCTATGAGTGAGAACATGCGGTGTTTGATCTTCTGCTCTTCTGTCAGTTTGCTGAGAATGATGGTTTCCAGGTTCATCCATGTCCCTACAAAGGACCCAAACTCATCGTTTCTGATGGCTGCATAATATTCCATGGTGTATATGTGCCACATTTTCCCTATCCAGTCTATCGTCGATGGGCATTTGGGTTGGTTCCAGGTCTTTGCTATTGTAAACAGTGCTGCAATGAACATTCGTGTACACGTGTCCTTATTGTAGAACGATTTGTAATCCTTTGGATATATACCCAGTAATGGGATTGCTGGGTCAAATGGAATTTCTATTTCTAGGTCCTTGAGGAATCGCCACACTGTCTTCCACAATGGTTGCACTAATTTACACTCCCACCAACAGTGCAAAAATGTTCCTATTTCTCCACATCCTCTCCAGCATCTGTTGTCTCCAGATTTTTTAATGATCGCCATTCTAACTGGCGTGAGATGGTATCTCAGTGTAGTTTTGATTTGCATTTCTCTGATGACCAGTGATGATGAGCATTTTTTCATATGTTTGTTGGCCTCACGTATGTCTTCTTTTGAGCAGTGTCTGTTCATATCCTTTGCCCACTTTTGAATGGGCTTGTTAGTTTTTTTCTTGTAAATCTGCTTTAGTTCTTTGTAAATTACGGATATCAGCCCTTTGTCAGATGGGTAAACTGCAAAAATTTTTTCCCAATCTGTTGGTTGCCGATTCACTCTAATGATTGTTTCTTTTGCTGTGCAGAAGCTGTGGAGTTTGATTAGGTCCCATTTGTCTATTTTGGCTTTTGTTGTCAATGCGTTTGGCGTTTTGGTCATGAAGTCCTTGCCTACACCTACGTCCTGAATGGTTTTGCCTAGATTTTCTTCTAGGGTTTTTATTGTGTTAGGTCTTATGTTTAAGTGTTTAATCCATCTGGAGTTAATTTTAGTGTAAGGTGTCAGGAAGGGGTCTAGTTTCTGCTTTCTGCACATGGCTAGCCAGCTTTCCCAACACCATTTATTGAACAGGGAATCCTTTCCCCCAAAATATTTATTCTTGATGGAAAAAGGCAGATGTTATTTGAGATGAATGACAGGGTTTCTGACATTAAATTCAGTATGTTGGTAAGATTGTTTTATTAATATGGAAATACTGTGACGGTTATATTGAAAGTGAACCATTAAAATCAAGTATATGTAAGGAACAGTTTCATAGCAAGAATATAATTTAAGGAGATTTAAGGAGCACTGAGGGGTATATTATATTCCAGAAGGCAGAGCTACCCTTGCGTCATTGCAAGCAAATAATTCTTATACATGGTAGATATTCAAACAAACATGTTTTTATCATTTACTCCAGATTTATTTTAACTAGTTTTATTTGAATTACGTAGTTTAGAGAAAGTGCCTTAACATTTGGATTTCAATTGCTTTTTTTCTGTAACAACAAAAAATTGGTTATGAGTATTAGGAGTTGTTCCTTAGTAATAAATCTTTTTTGCTTTTTAAAGAATCCAAGAACAATCAGTCTATTTAAAAGTTAGTAAGTAGAAATAAAAATTTGTTATATACTGATTATATCTGCTAACTTATACTATGATATTATTATCCTATCCATTTTACTTTTTGTCTTTAGAGGCTATTCAAAAAACACTTTCATCTGTGGATACAATAATAATAAATATCATGGGTTAGATAATGAAGTTACTTGTTCTTTGATCAAATCGTAAACATTAAACTGGGAATGGGCAAAAGACTTAAACTCTGAATTTAGGGGTAGTATTATACTAACTAAAATATTAGCTGCCTTTAAAATGGCACAATTGAATTCAATCCTATTTTATATGTTGGTGAGACAAAGAAAATAGATAACTTTCATATTTGTAATGCCAAAACACAGTAACACAAAATGGCTATAATAGAAATTGTATTGTGTTGTATATTCTTGATCAGAAGGAAGATATGGTTATGGAATATGCTAGAATTTACACTGATCATAGACAAACCTTTACTTGCAAAAAAGCATGAGGTCAAACTTTATTTCAAATTAATGTACCTCATTTTGATGTGTAATGCTTCATTGATATCCAAGATAAATATATGCAGATACTGATTTCTGAGGATAACCTAAATTAGCGCCTGTATATGTATTGGCATACATGTATGTACTTGTATTTTTTATTTATCAATTGTGTAAATTGTTACAAGATAGTTAGATGCTATTTGATACATATAAAACTATCCAAAGATGCAGAAGAAAATATTTAATAATTTTTTCCACTGCAGGCATTGCATTTCTATCCCTCTGAAGTGAATACTTTTGGTAGCCTGGCATGTTTTATTCCATAAATATTTTCATGTTTCATTGATGCACATATATGCTCACATAAAGTTCTGTAGTGACATGACACTTGGATGCTTCTTTGATTTTTCCTTAAGCCAGGTGTTTAGTCTCTATTACAATACTTCTAGTGAACCTTGACCAGTGTTGTTATGTAAAAAATATTTTCTATAAATATTGAAAATAAGCATCCAAAAATACTCAACATTAGTAGTCATTAGAGAAATGAAAAATGAAAACCACACTGAGAACCACCATCTCAACCAGTCAGAATGTCTGTTATTAAAAAATAAAAAAATAACAGATATTGGTGATGTTGTGGAGAAAAGAGAAAGAGAACGTTTATATACTGCCGGTGTAAATGTGAGTTAGTTCAGCCATTGTGGAAAGCAGTGTGGTGAGTCCTCAAAGAACTTAAAACAGAATTACCGTTTGACCCAACAATCCTATTATTAGGTTTATATCCAACAGAATGTAAATCATTCTACCATAAAGATACACACGCACGTATGTTTATTGCAGCATTATTCACTATAGCAAAGGTATAGAATCAACCTAATTGCCCATCAGTGGTAGAATGAATAAAGAAAATGTGGGAAAGTTACACCATGGAATACTATGCAACCATATAAAAGAATAAGATAATGACCTTTGCTGCAACATGGCTGGAGGCATTATCCTAAGTAAACTAATACAAGAGCAGAAGGTCAAATATGGCATGTTCTTATTTATAAGTGGAGGCTAAACATTGAGTACACGTGAACACAAAGATGTTAAGTATGTCTTTTTGTACTTCATGTTTAGTTTTCAACATGGGACCCTGGGGCCTACTGAGAGTGAAGGGTGGGAGAAGGATGAGAATCAAAAAACTACCTATTGAATGCTATGCTTATTACCTGGATGACAAAATAATCTGTGCACCAAGCCCCAGTGAGATGCAACTTACCTATATAACAAACCTGTGCTTAGACCCTTGAATCTAAAGTAAAAATTTTAAAAATGGCAATATAAATGAATGTAGTATAATATTAACATGTATTCGTAATATAATCTTTGTGTACATATACATATGTAAAACATGTACGTATGCATGTACATATGTATATGTGTATATACGTACATATATGTAGATATATATACACATAGATATATTCAAAACAGCATTTACTGAGTTCAAACAATGCGAGGTATTTGTTCATTATAGTATCCTCTCTGGGAGGTAGGTAGGTGGAGCCCATTAAATAACAATGCTCTTGGCTTCTGTGCTCCTGTGCCAATTGAGAAATGGTAACAAGAGAAAGGCAGAGAGTAAGTCCATCATCACCTTAGTTTGTTGAGGAAGCTGCCATTGAGCATGTGTTTTGCATTGCGTGGGAGGGACATGCCCATCTGGTCATGGGCAGTGTTATCTTGGCAGGATGTCAGTCAGGTGACAGCTTGTCCCATTGCCTGGTAGCTGGTGCCAATGGAGACCAGTTGCTCTCTCTAGTCAGGCCTGTTACCAAGAGAGAACAGTAGGTGAAACGTGTTTCTTCTAACTTCCCGGCTGCTTAAATTATCTGTTTCATTTGTCCTGATCCAGCCTCCCCTCAATCCAAGAAAGGGTGGGTATTGGTGAGTGGTGAGGTCAGAAGTCATTCGATCAAGGAGCTTCCTCTCTAGGGAAGAAAACGTCAGTATTTAGGAAGAAGTGTTCAACATCCATCCCCACAACCTTAGGTGTTACTCTCAATCCCGTTTTACAAATGAGGGCATTTTGGCATAGAAAGTTAAGTAACTATCCCACGGGAGGATCCAGATTGAAATCTAGGCATCCGACTGAAGAGTCTCAGGTGTATGCTTTACTATCTGCCCTGTCTACTCCACATATTCTTACTCACCTTTTTTATTTTTATTTTTAATATTCCTGAAACAGGTATAAAAGGAAGCAGGTTTATGTGATATAAATAAAATAAATCTGAAATTTCAGTATGTGGTATAAATAAAATAAATCTGAAATTTCAGTTTGGTCAATAATTAGTTATATAATCACATAA